TTAAGAAAGTCTGGTCAGCCTTTAGTAACAATTTGTACTTCTTACAATTGGAAAGAAGAATCAAACAGATAAAAAAGCATGACATATATCTGAAAGAGATGTTCTTAAAATTGCATTTGCAAAACTACAAAAGCAAAAGTACAAAGACAGTACTACTGTAAGCACATGATGCTTTTTACTTTCAAATTAAACAACCTAAATTTGTTATTTTTTATTGATTCTCTTTTTTGCCATTTTCTGAGTGGTGCGATCTCAGTCACTGGCACAGCTATTACATTTTTCATTTGCAAAATATGCAAAATTGTGTCTGGGCAATGCCAAAAGCATGCCATCAGCACACTGTACATGCATGAAAAGCCACCTGCATATAACACAGCACATGATTTCCAAGGGATGAAAATACAGTGATTAATGAAGCTATACTATAATTTATATTGATCTCTAACCTTTCAACACACCGCCAGAGCTAATTAGGACACAAAATACAAAAATCCCCCTTATGCAAAAGTCAATAACCTAACGTCAGAGGCCATCTTAAATGGAAGATATGTATATCAACCAACACGGAATGATGGCTGAGTGCTGGAGTGAGCTTTAGGCGTTGAGTACCAACACATGCATGTTGTAACATGTTGCAAAGCAATGAGGCAGATACTTGCAGCAGAGGCATGGATATTGGCCCACAGCTGCTTAATGCCGCTGGAGGGGCAACTTTCTTTCCCTGCTTGCCAGACGACTATAACAATGTAATCACTTGCAGAACGGCACAGGGTTTAGACGGCAGTTTACTGGTTAGAAAACAAGAATGGTGGCAACTGAGGAGGCCACTCAGCCCTTTCAGCATGTGTTTTTCCAGCAGCTAATTCATTCTCGAGTTACCCCAAGCGTTACTTCTTAACGTTTTCTTAAAAAAAAAAGTAAATTCCACCCCGCCCCACCCCCCACCTTTCATTTTCAATCTTTCAATATCTTGTTCCTGAGTATATCTCAGTGGAATTCAGTAGTCATAATATCACACGACACAAAATAAGCCAATACATTATCCCTCCAAAATTTAAAGGAAAATTTTAAATGAAGAAAAATGTTCACACATCATGCTGTTGACCAAGAAAGCAGAAAGGACTGAAAGATTTCCTTTCAAGAGCTGCAGCAGTAAAAAATAGTGTTAATCAGGGGGGTTCATTCTATGATAATGGTTGGAGATTATAAATGAAGAAAATACACAGCATAATTGTTTCTGTATCAGCTCTTATCTTCTTCCCTTTGTAATATTGGGCAGCTAAGTCTGAAATCCTACTGTATATGACCAACAGTTATGTTATATATCTGTAATTAAAGTGTCTGGAATGCAGACACCTGTATATTGGCAAATAGTTGAGAAAAATTTTCAATGTTCGACATTTCAATTGGAAAATTCTTAAGTATAATTACACAGAACTATGTGGATGTTTCTGAGACTGTTCATATAGCTTTTGCTTTTATTTAGTAGCAGTTGCTGTATAATTTATTCTTACTTCATCTTTTAGCATACATGCAATGAAAGGCATTTCACATTTGAGCTTACTGTTGGTTGTTCTCATGTATTTATGTATTTATTGTTTTGACTTAATTTCTTTGGTTTTCAAGCCCCAAAGAAGTTGTGGGTTGCAATTTGTAGGTGGATTACAAAGTGGTCAGTATGTCACAAATCGTTTACATCTAAAACATTCTTTAAGATTAACTGTAATATGTCGCTTTCGATAGAATAGAATAAAATATCTAATAGAGCTGAAATGGCTCCAGGTCCTGACTACTAATTATTAATAAACCTTTTTGAACATAATGCCATTCATATTGGCATGCTAAATCATTTCCATTTTCTTTTTAAAAACATTTCACAACTTATTTTCATTTTTGAAACATTTAACAGTTCTCCCTTTTCCTTGAGGAAAAG